AAGAGGGTATTGCGCTACTTGTGCAGTACATCGGGCATGGGGCTCGTCCTTGGAGGAGGGAGCTCAGTTGTTCTCACTGGGCACTCAGACGCTTCTTGGGTTGACGACCAGGCTACTCAGCGGTCGTCACAGGGTTACACCTTCAGCCTTGGTTCTGGTTCAGTTTCGTGGCGCTCTACGCGTTCGTCTTCAGTTCTCAGCTCCAGTTGTGAGGCTGAGATCTACGCCACAGCCATGGCTGCACAGGAGTTACGCTGGCTCACCTACCTGCTGACCGACCTTGGAGAGAGGCCTAGTTCTCCTCCAGTGCTGTACGTCGACAACAAGGCTGCCATTGCCTTGTGTGAGGAGCACAGACTGGAGCACAGAACGAAGCACATCGCTCTCCGTTACTTCCTTGCTTGAGAGCTGCAGCAGCGTGGTCAGCTTCGTCTGCGTTACGTGGCCTCTCAGGCCAACACCGCTGATATATTCACCAAGGCACTTCAGCCTGGTGATCATCAGCGCTTCTGTACTTTGCTGGGGCTGGTGCCCACTTTTCCTCACTTGTTGTAGGCTTTGCCTGTACTGTGATCTCTATATATACTCCTGCCTGTTTGTTCTGCTAGGCTGAGATCACCCTTGCTGTTTGTACTACATATATACTTCTGCATGTGAACTGGCCATGTGGCCCTTTGCTTGTGCTCGGAATGTGTGGTGACGTTCTGATCCACCCTGAGCTTGCTTGTCTTTCCTGACTGGTCTTGTGACCCCTTGCTCTCCCCCACTTTGCCTATGGGGGTGTGTCAAACACTATATGTGTTGTTGTTGTGTAGGCTATAGTGGGTTAGCCTTTAGGGGGTATACAAAACTAGGGTTTGCTACTTGTACTCCAACTTTTCATAGTTCACACACTTCTCATTCTGACACGATGGTTTAGCATGGCTAGGTGGTCGCTTTTTATTGGTTGCGATCTACTGGATTCGGCCCACATCGTTTTCCCGCCGGGCATCCAGGCTAAACATATCAGGTTAAACCTGTCAGCTTGGTTGGAACGGTGTGCGCAGTCGGGCAGGGATGTGACCGTGTGGTCACATCCACCACTCAGCTGTCTGCCCGGGCAGAGCGGTTTCCTTTCCCGCTCGGAAATTGCCCATTTCGGGCGTCCAGGTGCATGCTGTACAGTGTGACATTTCGACACGCGTGCGATTTTCGGGAGGTGACGGGGCGTCGTGTAACTCGCCCGCGACACCCGCGCAATTTACGCCAACCAATGTAAGATACAGTGAGGATCGCATTACTGCGGTCCGCGTTTGTGACACAGTACGTTATATGCTGTTTTTGTGAGTCACAAAGTGCTTGAGACAGAAGTGTCTCCACATGAATGTACCCTTTGCGAAGCCTCGTTAGCAGTAACAGGCGAACAACGGCTGCTGTTGTACGCGATGTTGACAGTCGTGATAACGAATAGCGAGAAAATTCCATATATGCGATCAAGCCTACCACGAGCAAAAAAATGGGCTGATGGTTTTTGCCCGGCACCAGTGGTGCGGAGGTGATTCCACCTCAAGAGGCCGCACCAGTGGTGCGGACCATTTGCATGGAGAGGAAGTGGCGTGGAACAAACGGGCGGTTATGGTACTGTGTCACAAAAGTGCTGTTCTGCAGGTATTCTTGGTTTTTTTTTATGCGCCCAGCTCTGGACAATGCCCAACCTGAACTGACGCACCATTGGTGCGGATGGAAAAATCCGGAAGGCCATTTTTGGCCAATAGAACAGCGCCGAGGAGTTATGTGTTGAACGCAAAACGTATTTTGTTTTCTGGAAGTTGCCCCGAGACAGGGACAGCTGAATGCTTTTAGAGCGTATTCCTACGGGGCCACCTCGTATCAAGAATGAAATTGACTTTTGTTTACGGTATAAAACACCTTATATCAAGAATAGACCGAACCAGCGCACCAATGAAAATGCTCGCACACCCAGAAGTGAACGTGCTGATTTTCCGACGCACGGTTTCGAGTTGACGCGAAGTCGTCAGTCCAGTGAATGCGGCCGACAAACAGTCATGCGAAACTGCACACGGTGGCAGTCGTGCGCCGCGCGCGAACGTGCAAAGTGTGCAAACTTGTTCATGCTGGGTCGCAACATGCCACATCAGCTGTTGAAGGAGTCGCACATGTGGGTTAACCGGCAACTTTTACTGATATGAGGTTTTGGCGAACTTGTCAATTTACAGGCAGGAGTACCATTCTTGATACGAGGTGGCCCCGTAGGAATACGCTCTTAGGAGAATGAACGTAGAAAACAATTACGGTTATGTAGTTTCGTTTTCCATAAGCGTTTTTAAGAAATGTTTCGTGTTTTACCCTTATCAAGAGCTGGTGTATTCTAGACACATCTCACAGCACACACAAGGCTTGCATTGTCGATTCTCCCCAAACCTCTCCGGTCTCGTATTCTGCCGAAGCTTTTGGTTTGGGTTTGGCATTAGCGGTTCCCCAAACGAGGGTCACCAGTGACGGCGTAGTGGTGGTGATCATGGGCTGTCGACTATTTCTGGTTCTCTTTCAGGAATTCGAGTCGCGTTTTTGCTCAACGCTCCGCTTGTCCTTCCTGCTTTACTGTACCTGCGGGTGACAGATTCTCGCAAGGGCGGCGCAGCAGCAGAACCAGTCGCCTAGGCTGCGCCGGCGTGTGTGCTTGCGCGGCTTACCAAGGCCCTGGGGCGCTGCGCCTGACCAGAATTAGCTGGAGGTACGGAATGAGGTTCGCGTCGTTACGCATGGTTTGCGGTATTTTCACACCCTACAATTTTACACCTCTGTGTATTCGTTCCTGATTTACCCGGAAATTGAGGATCGTTTATAACAGTCTGGTTTTAAGAAATTAACGATTAACACTCCGCTTAAGAGTCAGCGGGAAAAGAGAAACATGGTCGCAGCAGAAGATCCTGTCTTTACGTTGCGGTCACGAAGTCACGCTTTCACAACATCGACACTTTACAATGCCACAGATAGCCTCTAGTTCCTTGGGTGTCTGATCCCCAAAGCTAAAAAGGTTAAAATGAGCTTTAATCCTCAAGTGACGGAGTGTGAAGTTGGCGCGGGCTAGGTGTACTAGCCAGTGGGTTCGGTTGGGTGTCGGTTTGGTAAGGGAAGGTTGAGGTGAGGGAGGTCGCGCCGTGCCGCTGGTTTCGAGTCTCGGCTCGTATCATGGTTGGATGCAAAGAACGTACAGCGCTGCCTCCATCACACAACCACACCACACCAACTACAAGTGAGTGGTTCGACTATCCCCAACACACGTAACGGGCAAGCGATAAATGAATCACAACGACCAGGGCAACGGAATACACAGTTTGCAAACTTGCACAGCAGCAAATCGCTGCTTTTCCTGAGAGGTGGCGAACGCGTCCGGTCAGTAGCCCAGGAAACACAGTTTGGTACTCCCGAACCTTATCCTAGCCAGATTTGGCAAGAACCAGACCAGAAAGTTGACCCGGGACCCAAGCCAAGACCAGCAAGGTGTGGTGCACTAGGGGGAGAACCAAACCAAAACAGGCCATTTCGCTTGTCTGATCTGCAGCGGCGGACCTGCGTGCGCGGGTCAGAGGCGGCGGCGGAGCAAGAAAACCATCTCCAAGGAAAGAGACGCGAAGGAGGCTAGCAACCCAGAAGCAGTCGCCCACCCGTCCACGTCTCCCCCATTCGCCCCTCACCCACTCGCCCGCCAGCACCACCACCACCCGCCTCGCCATACGTCCCCCTCATTGTTCCAAATTCCACATCCAAGCTTGGGCGAGCAGCTCTGTTGGTAAGGCCGTTGATCCAGCCCTTTTTAGAGGGATCTCATGCTTGACTTCGTGTTTGGAAAATGGAATCGAGGCAAGGTTGTGAATTTAGCGTGGCAGCAACGGCACCCGTAGCTGGAGACGCAGCAGGACTTGCACTTCCCAAATAGGCTCCCAACATACAGTAGACTTAGCTCCACTCTCTTGCTTCCTTCGGCTCATCACCTGGCTGCTTCCCCTGAGCCGTTCTTGATGCCGTACCTTTATCGCGCCGATCGCTCGTGCTTCCCCCCTTCATACGGCATCTTAATTTAACGATTCTTCGCGTGCGCTAGCACAATCGTCGTACTCAACCAAACATCACCAAACAAACTCCGCAAAACACCACTCAGCACCACCAAACTCACTCCCTACCCCCCGCATCCTCCTCCAATCCGCCAATCCGCCACCGGCTCATTTCACCGCGCCCCCCTCCTTCGCCTGCACACCCACATACTCCGTTCCGCTCTTCATCAGCAGTGCTAACGAGTGATGCGTTTGCAGTGTGGGCGCCTGCTAGTTAAGCGGCGCCGCGGGCGATCTGGGAAAGCATCGGTTGGGCTCTGGTAGACGTAGCCGCTGGACGAAAAAAGAAGGCCTCTTCGTTAGTCGCAGGCACCGCGCGGATAACGCCTCAGCGCGACAGTCGACTCGAGTGGATAGCACGTCGCCGCGTTGCAGCGGAGCAGCAGGATACTAGCTTGAGCGGGCCACCCGCGGGTTACCGGTAAACGGTGTAGTCAAAGAGGGAAGGAGAACGGTCGTGGAGTAGTCACAGGGGCGATTAAGATCTGCGACGAGTGCGCTCATTCGTGCACGTTCTTGCGGTTCGGACGACTCGTAAGGAAGCGAGGAGGAGAGAAGGAACGAGCGGAGAGGAAAGTGAGCGGAGAGATAGTTTTTGTTCAGAAGCGGGTGATTTAGTCAACAAATTGCGGCGAAGTCGCTAAGCGGTGCTTCGAGAATTCGCCACTATCAGCCAGCGACTCAGCAGCTCCTGCGTTCTCCGAACCTTCCTTTTTCCGAAGAAATCTTCGTCGTCCCCTTTCCCCACCATCCCCGCGCGCTGCTGCTTGCATCAACATCTGCAGCGGTGGCGGCGTCCGCGGAGCTTCCGTTGGCGGTGCCAGCGGCGTCGGAAATTGCGGCGGTTGCGGCAGCGGCGGCGGCGGCGCGGGCGGTGACGGTACTATGTCCCGCAAAGTGACGCAGGTGTCGGGCATTCTGGACGTGCATGTGATGCAAGCGGAGGGACTAAAGAACGTGTGCTTATACGGACCCCAGGACGTTTACGTTAAGATCCTCTGCGGCACGCACGACGACTCGCAGGGCCGCGTCGCGCTGCACACCAAGACCGTGAAAGCCGGCGGCTCGAACCCCATATTCAACCAGCGACTACAGGTGAGGAGGGAGAAGGGAGGGAAAGGGGCAAAGGGAGGATAATGGGGAAAGGGAGGGAAAGGTGATAAAGAGTGGGGAGGGGAGGGGGAGGAAGGCTGAGTCGAGAGGCCACGGAAGTCGCGGCGACGGGAAGGCGTAGCAGGAGGATAGGTGTGCGCTGGTGGTTCCGGTGGAATTCAGGGTGTGTGATGGTAAAATTCTGAATGAACGCGTGTTGAAACTCTCGTTACGTTCTCATAGTCCCCTCCTTCCCCTTCCCCTTCCCCTTCCCTTTCCTCCTCACCCTTCCCGTTCCTCTTCCTCCTTTCCGGCATCCCTTCCGCGGAACCCTGTGTTACGCCCGCGCGCCCCTACCAGGTAGGCGTGCAGGAGCGCCACGTGGAAGTGAAGTGCGAGATCTGGGCGGCGAGTCACAACCGCGGCACAGCGGACGACCAGCTCATCGGCTTCGTACACGTGCCCATCTACAAGTGAGTCCGCGCGCGCTCTCCGCTCCGCCTTCCGAGTTTCAAACTCAGTGAGGCCTCTCAAATGGGTCTCGTGTTGAGGCGCCTCAAACGACGACCAGCTTATCGGCTTCGTGCACGTCCCCATCTACATGCACTGTCCGAGCTCTCCGCTCCGCATTCTCTCCCCCTTCTTTCCGCCCTCCCGCTCCGCCCTCTCCCCTTTCCGCTCCGCCTGCGATCCTCCGCGATGCTCTCCCCGCGCCGCCCTCTCGCGCCAAGCTGCCGCTCCGTCTTCTCCGTGCGGCCTGCGCCTCTCCGCGCGTGTTGCCCCTTCTTCATGCACCTCAGTCTTCCAAAGAAATTCCTTCCGTTATGCCACTCCGTCGTTGAGCATTCTTCGAAATCATTATGCTTCGGAAATCTTCTTTCCTTCCCGCCGCCCTTCCTCCCCCCGTCCCCTTGCCCTTCCCCCTCTCCCCCCTCACCCCCTCCTTCTCACCCGCTCCCCCTCGATCTGCCGTTCACTTCCGCTCTTTCTTCCCCGTTTTCTTCCCCCTCCCCCCCCCGGTCCCCCGCCCCCTTCTCGCCCCTCTCTTCCTCTCCCCCCCGCCCTTCTCCCCACCCCCCGAACCCCCCTGCCCCCGCGCCCATCCCCCAGAGATTCTTCCGACAAGGCCAAGGGGCAGACTATCCGCGAGTTCCCCCTCCGCCCAGTAGACGGCGACGCGGGAACAGCCTCCGCGGGAGTCATCCGCCTTGCGCTCTCCTACCATCCGCGCCCGTCCTCTTCCGCCGCCGCGTCCTCGTCCCTCCCCATTCGCGGACCGCCCGGCGGAGGCATCTTGGGCCGCGCGCTTTCCGCTGCCTTCTGCCGAATCGCCAGCGACAAAGCCGGCGCGGGGAGCAGCAAAGCGAGCGGAGCGGGCGGAGCGGCGGCGGCGGCAGCGGCGGCGATTCCCGCAGTGCCGGCAGCGGGGACGGGAGTAGCGGGGGCGCGCGGAGTCGTTGCGGCAGTTGGCGGAAGCATTAGCGGGTGGGGAGAGGCCAGCGCAGCAGGGGGCGGCGGCTTCGGGGGAATAGGGGGAGGAGCAAGCGCAGTAAGCGCAGTAGGAGCAGGGGCAGGGGCGCAAGCAGTGGCGCAAGGGCATTTTCAGGCGCAAGGTTCGGGGCAACCGGCGGCGGCTCTAGAGGCGCAAAGCGCAGCCCGTGGGAGGCAAGTGCAAGGCGGGTCGCGGTTTCCGCATCTGCAGTCGCAGCAGTCGCAGCAACCGCAGCCGTCGCAGCAGTTGTTGTCCCAGCAGCAAGGAATCTTAGGGAGCACGCTAGGAGGTTCAGTATCGTCCGGTCTAGACTTAGTTCAAGCTTTAAGAGCAGTTGCGGAGGTCGATAGGGCGGGACTCGTAGGCGCGGGCGGAAAGAAGAAGGCCAAATCCGGACCAATCATATCCGGCGGAATGGAAGTGTATGGCGGAGCGGGGAGCGCGGGGATCGGCGGAACTCTGGCGGCATCCGCGGGGCTCGGCGGAACGTTCAGCCCCGGGTTCGGCGGAGGCACGGCGGCCGGGGGGGCGAACAGCAGCGCAAGCGCCGGGGGAATGTTTGGTGGAGGCATGGGGAGAGGCATCGGGGGAGGCATTGGCGGGGGGAGCGCGCACGCGCACGCGTTGGCGCAGCAGCTTCCCCACGGCAAGCCCAAGTCGAAGTCCGGACCGCTGCAGCACGTGGCGGAAGGGGGCTTGGCGGGGGGAGGCATGGGAAGAAGCGGCCCCGCGACGAGCTGGGTAGGTCTGGGGGGAAGCGGGGGGGGCGCAGGCGTAGGCGCGGGCGCGGGGGAGCTGCTGGCGGGCGCGTTTGGCGGAGGGGGGATCTTCGAAGGGGTGGCGGAAGGGGCGTGGGGATCGGACGCGTCTGTTCTCTCCGCGATTCTGCTGCGCGACGGGCTGCTTCCGCCGAGCGCGGTGGGGCTGGCGCAACAAGCGGCGGAGGGATGCGGAACGGCCGGCGGCGGCGCATCTGGCGGGGGAGCGGGAAGGGGAGGGGGGAGAAGAGAAGGGTCGCTGGGGGCGAATCCGCTGCCCGCGCGCTTCGCAGGGCTGTGCAGTGTGGGGGAAGGGGAAGGAGCAGGGGGGGAAGCGGGAATGGCAGGCGAAAGTGGTGGGGGTCCGGTAGCAAGTAGCAGAGGTGGCTTGAGTGGAACAGCAGCGTCAGGCGGAGGAGGAGGAGGAGGGGGGAAGGTAACTGGAGGTGGGAGTGCCGCCCCTCGCGTTCCTCCCCTGTCGGCTGTTGCTGCAGCCGCGTCTGGCGCTGCTGCTGCTGGTTCTTCTATGCGCTCGCAGCAGCACCGGCAGCAGCATCACCACAGAGAGCAGCAGCAGCAGCAGCAGCAGCAGCAGCAGCACCATCATCATCACCATCACCATCAGGACGGTGTTACTGCTGCTGCTGCTGCTGCTGCTGCTGTTCCAGCTGCAAGCTCGGGCATGGGCCCCAGCGTCCTATCTGGCATACCGCCTGGGATTCCGCCTGGCATGGGCGGCCACAGCCAGCTCTCCCCGGAGCTGCTCACTCTGTGGGAAACACCTGACGCTGTAGCCATGGAAGCTGCCTGGTCGCCCCCCCACGGCCCCTGGCAGGGAGTGTACCATCATACCTCCTCTCTAGCCGGCGCTGCTTCCCCCACTGGCAGCGCGGGCGGCGCGGGAGGAATGGAAGGAGGGGGGAGGGGGAGGGATGACGGGGAGGGGAGCGAGCAGAGCGCGGAGGAGGTTTCGTCCACGCAGAAGCGGACGTGTGGCGCGGACGGGGGCGCGGGGGAGGCGGGGAGGGTGGGGATGGGGGAGGAGTGCTGCGCGGATGGCGGGTTTGGGGGGGAATGCGGGGGGTGCGGGGGAGGCGGGGTAACCGGGGGAGGGGGTGGGGGAGGGGGGGGGGACGAGTGCAGCATGCATAGAGCTTGTGGGGGTGGGGGAGGGGGAGGGGGAGGGGGAGGGGGAGGGGGAGGGGGAGGCGGAGGGGGAGGGGGAGGGAGAGGGATGGGGCGTGGCGGTGTGGTGGTGGAGGGGTCGTTCTTTGAGACGTGCTCCCCGGACCGGTTCCTGCAGTCGCCCCCGCGGGGCATGGGGGGAGCAGGAGCAGCAGGCATGGAGGAGGGCGAAGGGGACTGCCACATGGGTGGCGGTGGCGCTGCTGGTGGCGGCGGTGGTGGTGGTGGTGGCGGCGGTGGTGTTGCCGGTGGCGGTGATGGTGGTGTGCAAGAGAGGACGAGTGGACGACGATCCAAGACGGGAGGGAGAGGGAGAGGGGGAGGGGTAGGGGGAGGAGTGGGTGGTGCTGGGGAGTGGAAGGTGGCGGAGAGCAGAGGTGAGGGCGGGAGGCTGTTTCGCATGGCCATGCCCGATGGGTTTGACACGGAGGGATGGGGCTCTGTGGATGATATGGATGTGTCCGGGGCTGATGGGGTTGGGGAAGGGGAAGGGGAAGGTGGTGAGGGTGAGGGGATTGAGGTGGAGGGGGAGGAGAGGGGAGGGGTGTATGGGGAGGGTGGGCATTTGCTTGTGTATGTGAGCTCGGATGCCAGTGCTGATGGTGGCGTGTATCAGAGACACACACAGCAGCAGCAGCAGCAGCAGCAGCAGCAGGCACACGCACAAGTGGGGGCAGCAGCAGCAGGGGGGGTGTCCTCCCCAGCGCTACCACCAGCGCCAGCGCCCACGCCCATGCCGTCTCCCGCTCTCACCCCAGCGACGCCTGTGCCCTCGCCTGCACTCGCACCCGCCCCTGCCCCTCGCCTGCTCCGAATGCCCTTCCAGAAACTGCTAGAAGACGAGCAACAGCAGCAACAGCAGCAGCAACAGCAGCAGCAGCAGCATCAACAGCAATTGCAACTGCAGCACCAGATGCAGCTGCAGCAGCAGTTGCAGTTGCAGCACCTCTTACAGCAGCAGCAACAGCAAGAGCAGGAAGACATGGATGATGGGTACGGCATTGGCAGCAGTGGCGGCAGCAACCCCAGTTGGAGGGGCCGAGTGCAATTGCTGCAACTGCCGTCAGGCCTCATGGGGGGCAACGCATGGCTCCCTGCCCCTGCCTCCGGTGCTGCTGCTGCTGCTACCGGTGCAACCATGCATGGGATGCAGGGAGGGCAGGGAATGCGGCAGCAGCAGCAGCAGCAATTCTCTGGGCCTCTGGAGCCACATGTACCGCCCGCGCTCACGAGCAGCATCGGGGGCAGTGCCAGCGCAAGCACAGGAGTAGGAGGAGTAGGAGGAGGAGGAGGAGGAGGAGGAAACGGCAGCGGCACGAGCAGCAGCAGCATGCGGCATGCATCTCTCGGCCACAGGGTGCTGTCAGCATCGCAGCCCCTCCCTCCTCCACACTCGCTCTCGCTTCTTGGTGCCTCTGCGCACCCCACGCCTCTCTCCTTCTCCGCCCCACTCTCTTCCTTCCCTGGCCAAGGGTCAACGCAAGCTGCTGGAGCAAGCGCACTGGCAGCAAATGCTGCGGCCACTGCCTCTGCTGCCGCTGCTGCGGGTGCCTCTGTTGCAGGACCTGCTGTGCCCCTGCCTGCGCCTCCCCAGTCGTCGCGCTTCGCCTCTGTGCTTCAGCCCATGTGGACGGATAATGATGGCTTTGATGGGGATGGGGACGTGCTATGGGGAGGTGGAGGAGGGTGTGCGGGAGGTGGGGGAGGGATGGGTGGAGGACGAGGAGGTGGGAGGTTGGAAAGCGGGCGAGGTGGGGGGTTGGTGATGCCGCAAGCTCCTCAATTCTCCCAGCAGCAGCAGCAGTTTTCGCAGCAGCTGCATAACCATCACCAGCATCACCCGCAGCATCAGCAGCAGGTGCTGCATCAGCAGAACCACCACCATCTCCACTGCCAGCAGCAGCAGCAGCTAGCCCACTTGCAGCAGCAGCAGCAGCAGTCAGGGCAGCTGCAGTTGCAGCAGCATCATGCCTCGCGCCGTGCAGTCACTCCTAATACTGGCAGCACTGCTATGGAGGCCATTTGATCGCATCAGTTCCCTTTGCACCCCTTTGCCTATTATCTTCTTCGGTCCAACTTCTACTCCCCATCCCACGCTCCCCCTTTTCTTCTCACTCCCCCCATTCTACTCCCCACACTCCCCCCTCCAACTTCTCCACACTCGTGTGCCCCCGTCAAATTCTTCCCCTTTCCTTAGCTTTTCATTCTTTGCTGAACCTGCCCGTTAGTATGTCATGCCACAATTCTTTCCCTGAGCTAGGCTTGGCACCTCGTGAGCCTGCTCCTAGCAAGTGGCTAGGGTGTGTAAAAGGTTTGGGTGCGCGTGATAGGCTGGCAACCTTGTGTAGGCTGTACTACCAGCGCATTTGGGACCTTTTTTGGATGTGTTGTTTGGCTTCTTGTTACGAGTGCAATTGAGTGAACGAACGAGAATTGCACTATCGAAGCAAGAGTACAATGAGCGAAGGTATGAGCGAAGAATATATAGCGAAACTACAGTGGTAACGGTAATGGACTGTGGTTGTCGCGCGACGGGCCTGGGACTCAGGTTGGGAAAAGTGTCGAAGCGGAGGCCCGGAGCGCGGGTTACCTGCCGAGCCGTGAGGTCGGGGTGCGACGTGCGAAGGTGGCGGGCGGATTGTCGATGCGAGGATTGCGAGTGGTAACAGTGCTGACTATGGTGCTACAGTGACGTACGCGTTGAGCAGGGACGCGAAGTAAGGAAAAAGAGATTTTCCTTACACTACCCCCCCCCCTTAAGGAGGTCCTCCTTACGAAAGTGCGTGTACATCCCTGAAATTCCGGCTGCGCAGATACTCGGTGAGGACGGGGTGGTTTTCGATTCTGTCCAGGGGAACCCAATTGTCTTCGGTGGGTGTACGGTCCTTCCAGCGGAGTAAGAACTCGATCCTTCGGGCTCCTCGAGGGTCGCGAACTCTGTGACTCAGGATTTTCTCGGGGGTGATGATTGGTTCAGTCGGTGATCTTGTCATGCTGGCTGGGCGATTGCGTGGCAGTTGGCTCGTGGACGCGACGTAAGGGCGAAGCAGGCTGACGTGGAACGAGGGGTTGACGTACCAGTCAGCAGGGAGGAGGAGGTGGGCGGTGACAGGTGTAAGCATGTGGCTTATGCGAAATGGCCCGCAGTATCGGGGGCGGAGTTTAGGGGTGATGGGCAGTCGGAGATTTTGGGTGTCGAGCAAAACTAAGTCGTCGGGCTGGTAAGTGACAGGTCTGCGGTGGCGGTCGGCGTTGCGTTTAGCGATGATGTTGGCTTTTTTAATTGCGTCTGCTGCCCTGGTCCGTGCTGCTTGCAAAATTTCGGCGAACTGTTGCGCGCGTGGAACCGGGTTGTCGGGATTCGGGGTCATGGGTACTGTTGGGTCTTGTCCGTAATTCAGGTAAAACGGTGACTGTTGGGTCGTGGCGGATGGGGCGTTGTTGTATGCGAATTCGATGAGTGGCAGTTGCTGTTCCCACGTGTTTGGGTCGTCGCACGTGGCCCGGATGAGCTGTTCCATGGTCTGATTTGTCCGTTCTGTCTGTCCGTCTGTTTCGGGGTGGTACGATGAACTAAACTGTAGTCGCGTGCCGAACTGCTGCCACAGGTTCCGCCAGAAGTTGCTGGTGAATTTCGTGTCTCTGTCGCTGATGATTGATGCTGGTATCCCGTGCAGTCGAACGACGGTAGAGATGAAGAGGCGGGCTGTTTCTTCGGCTGTGATTGATTTTTTGCAGGCTGCAAAGTGTGCCATTTTCGTCAGTCGATCGACGACGACCAGGATCGCGTCATTTCCACTCGCCCCGGCCGGTAACCCCGTGACGAAGTCCATCGTCACCTGCTGCCAAGCACGCTCTGGAGGTGGGATTGGCTGCAACTGTCCCGCCGGCCGCTTCCGTGTTGACTTCATGATCTGGCAAGTGGGACACGATGCCACGTGTCGCTGCACGTCGGTCAACATTTCGGGCCAGTAATAATACCGCTGCAGCTGCTGCCGTGTTTTCTCTACCCCGAAATGTCCCGAGGTAACCCCGTCGTGTGCCTCCTGTAATAGTAGTTCCCGTAGCAGTGTGTACCCTGGTACCCAGATGCGGTCGGTCCCGGCTTTTACGTAATAGACTCCCTTGGCTGCTGCGAACTGCTGCGAATTTCCTCCTGTGAAGAATGGGTTTTTTTTATATCCGTGGGTAAATAGTCCTGTCAGTAGCGGGCTGGTCTGGGCGAGTAGTATCGCGTGGATCTGGGCAGTGGGGCGGGTCAGTGCGTCGGCGATGTTCGAGGCTCCTTTTTTATAGGTGACTGTGTAGTGGAAGTTTGACTCGAGGAAATCGAGCCACCGAATCTGTCGTGGGTTGAGGCGGGGCTGTGCGCGGAGGTACTGTAGTGATCGGTGGTCTGTCCGTACTGTCACGTCTGCGCCGGTCAAGTAGCAGCGCCACACTTTGAACGCATGCACGATCGCGAGCATTTCGCGGTCGTGTATCGGGTAATTTCGCTCGGGCGGATGCAGTTTTCGTGACTCGTATGCGATGGGCTGTAGGCCGTTGCCGAAGTCCTGTAGCAGTACGGCTCCAATGTCGATGTCGCTTGCGTCTGTAACAACCTCGAAGGGGCGGTGTGGGTCGGCGATGCGCAGGACGGGCGGTGAACAGAGAACATTTTTCAGGGCAGAGAAGGCAGCATGCTCTTTCTCCCCCCACGTAAAAACGACCCCCTTTCGCAGTAAATCCGTCAGCGGGGCAGTCAACTGTGCCATGTCGGGGACGAACCGACGAACATAATTAACGAACCCTAAAAAACTCTGCAATTCCGTGATGTTCGTCGGGGGACGCCACGCTTTTACCGTATCCAGCTTCTTTGGGTCGATTTCAACTCCAGCCTCCGAAATAACGTGCCCCAAAAATTCTAGTCTGTCCCGAAAAAACTCGCACTTAGAGCCCTTGGTTAGTAACCGATGTTCCTCTAAAACTTTAAATACTGCTTCGAGATCCGCTAAATGCTGCTGCTTGTCGCGACTGTAGACGAGGATGTCGTCGAGGTAAACTATCACGCATTTATCTAAGAGTGGCCTAAACGCCTCGTTCATGGTCATCTGAAATGTTGCGGGCGCGTTGGTCAGCCCGAAAGGCATCACCGTGTACTCAAACGACCCGTACCTAGTCCTAAATGTTGTCTTGGCGCAGTCCGATGGTTCGACCCGAATCTGATGGTAACCCCCCCGTAAGTCTATTTTCGAAAACACCCGTGCTGTTCGCAGTTGGTCGATCAGTTCGTCGACGCGGGGAATGGGGTACCGCGACTTGACTGTTACCCTGTTGAGCGCTTGGTAATCGATGCACATGCGAAACCCTCCATCTTTTTTCGGTGTGAACAGTATCGGTGCGGCGAACGGTGACGAACTTGGTCGAATAAACTGCTTCTCTAACAAATGATCTAACTGCTTCCTCAGTTCGTCGAGCTCGGGCTGTGCCCCCGGTTCTAACTCGATCCTATGATCATGCGCCCGCTGAGGTGGCAGCCCTTCCGGTAAGTCGTCTGGAAAAATCCCCGGGTACCGTTTCAACAGTTCCTGTAGTTCGGGCGGTACTGCTGCCAACAGTTTCTGAAAATCGCTCGGCTGCTCCGCTTCTCCTACTAATGCTATATCTACTGCGTACACGTCAGCTCCAGCGGCGACAACCCGTTTCATCGTGATGGCGTTGACGTGGACCGTTGAAGACTCGGGCGACTGCCAGCGAGGTAGCATGACCCAGTTACCGCTACTTCGCACAGTGCAGCTACCCGTCGTCCAGTCGATTCGTGGGTTGTACCGTCGTAGCCAATCACGTCCCAGTAAAACATCGTGCTCATCCAATGTCGTCGCGAGCATTTCCTGTGTAAACCCAAAGTTTCCCCCGCAGCGAACTTTTACTCTCTCCACCTTCTCCCGTATGGCCAGCGGCGTGCCGTCAACTAAGCGTGCGTCGATCTCAGGTAAGCAGCGACTAAGTGTCAGTTGTAATTTTCGCGCAGTTGCGGTATCAACTAAACTATGGCTTGCTCCTCCGTCAATAAAAATCTTCACTGCTGCTCCCTGTATTTTCCCGTGGATCAGTACTGGGCAATCCGTCGTTGTACCCTCCTTATTCATCCGAGCCCGATCGATAGCGTGAATCGGTACTGTGACTCGGTGAGGGTCGGTGCGGTTGGGCGAGCAGGCAGTCTCGTCAGTAGTTGGCCCAACTTCTACTGACTGCTGGCGTTTCCCTGCCTCTGAGACTCCCTCCCCTGCTCTGCTCCGCGGCGCCTTAGCTCATCTGGGCATTCGCTCTTGCGATGGCCCGGCCTGTTGCAAGCAAAGCAGCGCCCCTTAAACGGTGCGGCAGCTGCATTCGTTGCAACAGCGTTTACAGTGGCGTGCTCGATCGGTCCCCGAGGACGATGTCCGTAGTAGGACCCCGGTCTCGGTCGGCGTAGAATGTCGATTTTCTCGGCGAGCGCGAGAATCTCGTTGAAGTTTGAGAGTCCGCGCAGCATGATTTCGTGCGAGATATCCGGCTTCAGCCCTCCGACGTAACGGTCCACCCGCTCCGCTTCGTGCATGTAGCCGACCTGCTCGCAAAGTGCGAGAAAACCGCTCGTGTAATCTTGAACCGACCCGAGCTGCCGCCAAGTGCGCAATCTCTGACGCGCCGAAATAGAAGCCGCGATCGGCTCGAAGCGCGCCCGAAGCCCTGCGCACCACGCATCTCACGTGCTGTATTGGGCGGTCTCGCAGAATGAACT